GAAATGCACAAAATAACAGGCATTATTAGAACCTAAGGAGAAATCCCATGTTTTTAAACAATTACTAAAACAGTACAGTAATAGCATAAAGACAATTTCTGCGCCAGCTTGTTTCTTTGAAATTCTCTCTGCCACTGAACAGTAGAACAGATAATAACTATTAGTAAATCAAACTCTTCTGCAATATCCAGCTGTGCCTCACGCATTTACATACAGATAGAATGGGTATATGTTTTTAATATGTATGTGATCCGTACTTTTACCACAGCCGAAGTGCATGCTACAAAGGAGGAGGAGAATGGGAATCGGATCAGCATGAGATAATAAAGTGGCCTAGATAAAGTATTAGCCAGCGATTGATCTCAAACCGGGATGCTGCTTCTTCTGACCTGATTACTTACTATGCATAGATTCCATTAAATAGAGCTTAGACATGGGAAGCTTCTGGAAATACTCTAAATGCATAGAAGGATCTACAGCACTCTGAACCCAAACTGTAACTGCGGAGGGGTGCCCACAGCCCATACCCTCCCTGCCTGAGTCAAGGCCCACATTCAGGATAGGCTGGGAGGTTAAAGGGCCACCTGCCAGCTGGTGGGCGGCCCTGCTGAGTCCCACAGGGAGGGCCTTTCCCTTCCCTCCCCTGCGCCAGGCCAGCACCCTCCGAGTGAATGCCTCCCTCCTGAGCTGCTCATCTGGTCCTGGCTACACTGCACTATCTAACAGAATGAAAAGGCAGTGACGGGGGCTTCACAATCATTCAGGGTCATGGTCCTGTTTGAAAAACTGATGACAGCCCCGGATTCCTCTTTTCAGAAAAGAATGCAAATCCCCACCTGCATACACGACGTTGGATGTAATTTCAGGGGCTCTAACAGACTTCCTTAAGTCAGGGACCCGAGGTCAAGGACTGGTGATCTCATCCATCCCCTCCGTTTTGCAGATGAAGACACTCAAAGCTGGGAGGGAATGGGGAGCTACTGACAGGGGAAGGGAAGTGTGGCAGCTTCCCTGCTAAAGCCCAGCCTGACCTTAGCTACCAGAGAACCCTGCAGGAAGACTCATTGGGCAGAAGGAATTCTCTGTGGCTTACATGAGCAAGGGTCTACCCAATAATGTTCCTCACCGTATTCTCTATTCAAGAACATAACAATTTGAATAGCAAAGCCAGATCTGAACCTTTCCATCTCAAGCCGTCTGTCTCTGAATTTAGGAGTCTGATTTTTATTTTTTTGCATCCTTCAATTGAATTATTGACATTCTGGGAAAAGGTCTCCATCACCCTTGGTTTTATCATCTTCTCCCTCCTTGCCATGCTCTCGCCAATCCTTTCTGACGGGCAGCAGCTGTCCCCTACTCCACAGAAGCCGACACATCTCCGCTGCGTTGTCTGAAGCCTGCTGAACATTCTGCCTGCCATCTCCACAGGGCTTCCACAGCTTGGAAACTTTTTTAAGTTTCTGAGTCCTACTTCACAGAGCTGGGGTGGTGCTGACATAGGTCTTTCCTGCGATTTACACCAGGGTGATTTAAAAGTGGGTTCTTTAACAATGGACTCATTTTATTAGGAGAAGAAAGAGTGTGTGTGGGGTGTCAGCATGTTGGATGTTCTTGGCCACCTGCGTGGCTGGATTTCCTTTGTTGGGTTTAATGCTGACTCCCGATTTATGCAATAGCTCTCAAAGGACTGAAGGATGAAGGGTTTGCCTATATTTGAATGGGAGTCCACTCCTGAAAAAAGGGGTGGGTGGGTGTGCTGCTTCCATGTCAGGTCCAAGTTTTCAGACTTGGACTAGGGTTTCTTCTCTAAGAAGAAAGGGTTTCTCCTATAAGACGTGGAAATTTTTAACAGATCACCCAGCTGGTGGTGAACATGTTGCCTATCTGAACTCCCCCTTTGTGGGTCTGGGACTCCACCAGGCCAATGTCAAAAGGATTTCTGTTCCAAAAGGCACTAGAGGTCTCACATTGCTCTGAAAGTCTGGAGCCTCTATACACTCATGCTTTGCCCAGCCTGTTTCCTTTGCCTGGAATGTCCCCTTGAAAACTCTCTATTAAAATTCAGTCCATCCTCCAAAGGCCCTTTTCAAATGCTACCTTCTCCAGGTAGCTTTTTCCATTTCCCCCAGTGAATCCCCACAGAACTCTGTAGTTCCGAGTTACTTTATTTTAGCAATTTGCATACTTGCTGTATTCTCTGCAGGACTGTATGAATGTGGCTTATTCTTCCTTGTATCTTCTGTTGAGTCTAGCACAGGACTTTGTACATCACGGTCTATAAATATCTGCTGAACTGAATTGTTTATCTGGTTCTGAGATTTCCCAAGATGATGTGGATGCTACTGATGAGACTTCTGAATGAGTTCTTTATGTAGCTTAATGGCTACATGCCAGAAACATGTATCAGTTCACATGAACCCTGGACTCCCCAAAATGTGAGCGTTAAGGGAATTTCTTGGTCCAGCTTTAAAATACTTCCACTTAGAACACAAAAACTGATAACCATCTCAGGAACAACCACACAAGGTAGAATCAAACAACTAAACACCTAGATGAGTCCTAACACTGGGATTTTAGTGACTTCAAGAATCTAAACTTGAGTTTTACATTTCATCTTTAAGACTGACATGGTCAAAAATCGCAAAGATGATGGTTTTAAGACTGGGCTATTCTGGATATAAGGTAACCACACCAGATAAAAAGACAAAAACTGCTTGCATGCCCACTGTGCGCATGGCCCACCCCTCCCTGCAGTCTGATTTACTTAGGCAGGGCTTGCTGTGTTCACCGGTGGTCACAGCCACACCAGAGTTCCCTGGTGATGAATCTGTAACTCTCAGTGTTTCCACCCAGGTCCATTTCTGATTTCCTTCCTTTGGTTTGGACAGTCCTGTAGGCCTCACAGTCGACGCGGCCCGGGCTGTGCAGACCACATCAGTGCCCTGCTGGCTGGCGCTACGGTGCTAGGGAGATAAACTGCTCTTTTTTGTGAAAGGCAGGCCCTCATGCACAGTGACAAATGTCCTCTCCAGTTCATGCATTCCAGAGGATGTTCTCAGCTTCCAGATGGGAGTACCATCAAATAGGTTGTAGGCGGAGAGGGAAAAGGAAAAATTAAAGCCATTAATAGGCAGGAAGAAATAAAGAAGCTGGTTCCTTAAGACTGGGCGCCTTGGACGTGACTCAGGTTCCTCAAGCCAGGTACAACCTACTTTCTTTCCCATCCCCTATTTGGCTCAATATTGTGGTCAGAGGCAGGCAGGGCCCTACCCTCTTGACCCCAGGAGCCTCACACACGTTCCAGGTTCTCTGCCTCCTCACGGAGCCCCTTCTAAGCCAGGGTGCCTCACTAGCGCTGTACCTAAGGGGATATGTTCATTTAAATCCAACTGGGAGCAGTACTAAAAATGTTAAATTAACTATATGATGGTGCTTCCTGTGACTGAATTTTTCACTGTACTTTACTGATTTATTGATATTTATTAATTAAAAATGTGGGACAGCACATACCAGGGTGTACAGCTATAAAGAGAGATATCGAACTATGTATCGCTTGTCTCCCCACCGCCACCACCCCCCCAGCCTTATATACACTTCCTTCTCAGGCACTGAAAGTGCTCACCCTTTAGCCTTGTCTTTATGCCTTACCACCCCGGAGTTGTGTTCCTTACTAAGACATACATCCGTATGCATTTATGGGTGTATGTGCATTCTGCAGTGTTTTATTTATACCTGGCCAACTCATTGCAGCACTGAAACATGCATTTACAAACAGGTATCTGTTTTATGAAACCCTATTCCTTTGTTTTAATAGCTGAGCTATCCAGCCATAGCATAATAATGTACAAGGTAAATGGGTTTCCATCTCTAGAACCTGTTCCAAGTTTTCTCAAATGTGACTAACTGCAAGAATTTCCCAACCATCAAAGAGACGCCACTGCCAAAAGACCAGTTTATTCCAGACATGAAACCTGCACAGTTATAAATTGCAGAGGTTTTTAGGGGTGAACTTTAACTTGAAACCACCCTGAAAATGGAGATTTGCTCCAGGGGTAACGCGAGGGAGAAAGCTACCTTCCTGGAAAGCACTCATGATGCAAAAGGGAAACATCCTGTTATTTTATACTCCGGGATGAAATCTGTATTGTACAGAAGAAGTTTGGGTACTTAGGGTGTTTATTAAGATGGTGTACAACAGATGAACACCTCTGAGCTGGTACCTGTAAAATGCTTATTGTTTAAAGTGGTGAAAGAAAATTGGTCGGGATGTGCTCTGAGTGCAATAATCTAAAGACAGGGAATGGTATATACACAAAACATGAAAAGAACAGACTATAATTATTATTTACTAATGCTCGATCCTGGCATTCTTCTAACAGCTTGTGCATTGTCAAATCAACAATCTGCACTAAATAAATGACCATTTGGGAATTGCTAGGGAACATCTCTGTTCCTCTCCCTGCTCGACTAAAAACTGTCATTTGCAATCAAAGAAAGCAGCCTTGGAGCTGAGAACACAGCACCCGCAGCCTTATAGTTGTCTCTTTCTGAGGAAAGACCAAAGATTCACATTAACTTGATCTTTTGCAGCCAATCTAATTTCATTCTGCATGAATCCAAGAGGACTCCACGTCACATTCAGAATCTCCTGCAGGACTGTGCTAAAAACTTAAAATGCTGACTCACTTTTCTGTTACCAATCCTCTGGATTCTGAGAGGCTGTAACAGCAAATGAGGACAAGGAGTAACCCAGATTAACTTGTGACCCTTGAGTGTGAGGCGAAGGAAGAGAGTTCTGGCTTAAGTTTCAAAACGATGGTGGGTTTTTAAAAAGTAAAAACTACTATCTGAGCTTCAAAAACACCTACCCAAATGGAGTAAGTAATTCGGCCTCTCTAGAGCCTGTGGATGTTTTAAATGCCATTCTGGTTCTTTTAACAGAATGTTAAGCACAGATATATGACTAGAGAATGCTCATGTAACTAAAAAAATGTACTTACCATCAGGTCCTCAGGTGCTGGTCTTTCTTTTGGTTGTTTTCGCATGCTGTAAGAGGAAGAAAAGCTCATCATTATCTAGATCACTTATGGATTTGTGCTATACTTTCCACTATGGACTATTTTCCCTGGAATCTGAATGATTTCAAATTCATCATGTTCAGTTCTTGGCCAAAGTATCAGCATATATTCCCTTTCTTTTATTTGGGCCTTTAATTAATCAGATTTGGGGGGAATCTCATGAATCAGAAACACAATTGGGGGGGTTGTTATTCTCGCACTACAGATGAAGAATGAATTTAAATTTACCTAATTCCATTTTTGAAATAAATGTGGGAGAAAAAAAGGAGCAATATTTCTTCCTGACTCAGTTTTCAATTTATTTCAAACTTAAATCTAGGGAACAACAGACTTCTTTTTTGGTAACTGGGATAAGGTAATAATAAGAAAAGAAACATGACTATCAGGTCAAATGAGAAAACATTTTATTCCTTCATTACGACTCTGAATAACAAGTAATACATAAAAGAGGTTAGGAATCTAGATAATGCTACAAAATTACAAATGGGCTGTTACATTAGCTCAACTTTTATTTATTCTGGCTATGATGCAAGTTGATATTCATTAAACAGCTGGGGAGGAGTTAAGTTTGTTTAAGCTGCTTAAAGACTCATATTCCTCATACAAAATATTTCTTGTCTTACATGCAATAAGTATCATCAGTAGCTGTATCATGTACAAAGCTACATGATGAAGCACTCACATGGGGGACTGATGTGACTATGAGTAGCTACCTATTTGGTGGCCGTATCTATACTAAACTCAAGAGTGTCTATGGGATGAAGTCATGAAAAGAGACTGCTTCTTCTGTTACTTCAAAATCACACAGATGCTTTTTCTTTATACAAGGCAACCTCTAACAAGCACGAGGAAAACCCGTCATATGATCCCTGCATTTGCTGACAGTATTTTTTTTTTTTTAAGTAGAGACTTAATGATCATTTGGTAAATAAGAACCATAGTTATGAACCATTAATGACATCGAGGACATTTGCCTTCCCTATAAATAGCCATATGCACCTCTCAAATACTGCATCCATTAGCAAGTAATTCAAGCTGTCTTGCCAGTGGAGTTGGTAACAGTCCTAATCTGACATTCCAAAGTAGCTGTATCTCTTGGGAAAACAAGGCTATTACCCACTATCATTTCTGTTTCGGCTTGACATCTGTGGAAATTTCAACACAGGTTATCCCTCCCCCTGTCTCCATAAAACTTTTACATAGCAGCTGATTAATTTTTTGGACAGAAGGAAGGCAAGGCCTTATCTGTTTTTCCCTGTCTGCCCAGAACCTGCCCCACCTCCAAGTGGGTCTCAGGCCACACAGTGAGCTGCAAAGCCGTCCCGTCACAAATCCCACAGCGTTGGGCGGGTGATGCCCAAACCAGTGTTCCGGGCAGCTTAGGAATGGCACCATTTATTTTTCAATTTCTGCATTTCAAAATGGGGCATTCCCATGATGTGCTTCTGAGTGTTTCTAGGAATTCCATGTAAAGGAAATTAAGAGAGATTAATACGAATTTCTGGATAATGGCTCTATATTGTTGATGAGCTCAGGATTCCAGTGTTCAACCGATATATATATGGTTTTTCCAACATGGCATGCTTTGGAAATAAATGTCTGCAGGGTAAAAATAGTTTTTAAAAGCTACAGAATATTATATAAGTATTTTAAATAAATAGAAACAGTGTTAATAAAATTTTTAAAGTCAAGGGAAAAAAAATCTCTTCCTCACATATTTTTCCATGGAGTATAAACCGTATGAGACATTTTTATTAAGAGGTAACATATTACACTTAGTCAAAAAGGTGATAAAGCTTGACATTTATATTAAGGAATATTTCTTGGCTTCACTTTAGTGCAATCATCAGATGGATCATGGTGGGGAGGGGAAGGGGACAGTGCACAACCAGTTTGGTTTAGCAAGGACTCCCGATTGCACCATTTCAAGGCACCACAGGAACGAAGGGTTCATTTTCCACCACTGAATGTGACTCTAAAGGGGTGATGAAATGGAATTTGGTGGATGAGGGGAAGGAATGTAGAGGTGGTTATAAGAAAGTTCCAGAATGTCCAGAACAGTTTCTGGCTAGTTCTGTCTCCTGCTTTGTGGTGATCATTGCTAGGCTCCCAATTTCCTTCTCTCTCTCCATCTCCTTCTCTATACTAGGGCGAGGGAGAGGGCAGGAGGGCAGTGGAGCAATGAGGCCGTCCATGGCCACCTGGGTGCTGCTGGGTGGGGAAGAGGCAGGTGGATGATGTGAAAGGGGGAACCTCGTTCTACTGAGGGGGAAAAGGCAGAGGGCTGGCAAAGAAAAATGCCTGTTTCCTCAGGTGTAAAATGACCCGGGGTTGCCTGGAGGCTATGAGGGCCCATTTGGTCTGAATCCTGTGGTTCTTCCCAGTTCTTTAATGGTTCAAGTGGGCCTAATGGAACCCTGTTTTCATAGTCTTTCAAACATCAAAATTCACTGAAATGGACACCAGTATTGTGTTTAACATATAACCAAAGATAAAAGTTATTTACTGAAAACCCGATGGATTAATAAACTATGCTGCTTCCACTAAGTGACAGACAGTTTTATGGGTAACTGGAGGTTACATTAATAAAAATAAGCTTCATATGTCTGTTCAATAGGGGCTATAAAATTGTGTATTTCTTAAAAAAAAAATTTGATAGCAACAGTATCTGTGCTCGAAGAAGTAGCCCGATTCTCAGCAGTTTATTAAAACAGGAAAAAAGCCTCTAAAGTACATTTACGACCCTTTGTGTAAATAACGTTTACATAATTTAAACAATTTCTTCAGATTTGCTGCCCCATCTGCCCAAGGCCCTGACGTCCCTCCCGTCTCCAAGAGGAAGCAGGGAGAGCCATAAGGTCTCACGGAGCTGCAGAGTTAATGGCATGTATCATTTACATTGAGGGCATGGCATGTTTGCAAACGGGCTCACCACTGAGTGATGAAATGTACAAATGGCTCGGAGAACTCTCCAACCGGAAGGACGGGCGAATCCTGGGATGGAGGAAAAACAAGTCACCAAAAGTCACAACAATTCCTTTTCTTCCTTTATATGCACCCCCCCCCACCGCCCCCCAAGGAGCAGGATAAAGATGAATCTATAGCAAGGATTCACCACCATGTGGAAAGGAAAATAAGGCCTCATCCAATTAAAAAGGCTGTCTACACCCTCTCCCACATGTTTACGTAAAAATGCCAAATTTAAAGCCACACAATTTTACAATGGTGAGAAACATGAGAGCCAAGAGGGAGGGGAGGTGAAAACAGGACAATGATAGCCACAGGGTAGGAAAGAAGGTACGAAAGTGTAAATGAGAAATTAATGATTATTTAAGTAACACACAAATGGTCTTGTAATTAACAAAGAGCTGTGAAATTATTCTTGTGTTGACCTTTGTTTCTTTTACTGGATTTGCTATTTATTTACATTTGTTTGTATATTCAACTGCTCTTAACTGCTTGCTGAATCATTTGGGTCAGGTTCGTTTTGTTTTTGTTTTTTATTTTAATAGAAAGGCTTTTATGGGGGAAGCTGTTTCCTGAAAAGGAATTTTAGCCTGTTTGCCAGTCTGGGCAAACTTGTCATGTGAGAGAGGCAGTGAATTAAGGACACAATGAAAAACTCCCACCTTGACCACCAAACAGAACTGGGGTGGAGGTGGGAGCCACTTAAGAGAGCAGGAAACAACACGGCCACAAATGACAACCACTGAGTAACACAGGGAGCAAACCCCATTACCATTTGCAAAGGAAGGCTTTAAGAATTTAGGAGTTTTTCCAAGAATGACAGAGAGCGCCACTGTGTTTATAGTGTAGCGGCTCAGGATGTAATGAAATTACACTGCAGAGTACTTTAACAGTCATCTCATTAGACCTCCAGTTGGAACAAGACAGCCACATAACGTAGGCAGCTGCAAATGACTCCATTCCCATCTATTCTCATTTGCTATTAAAAATACCTTTCGGCGGCTTTTTTCCTCTCTGACATCCCTACACAAAGTGCCCTGCAAAGTATGATACATGCACCTATTTAAATTAACAAAGGAATGACTTATTTTAATCTCACTGTGCTTTGGAGTGCTTTGGCCATTTGGATGAGCAATATATCATTACATACAACCTTCCAGCGCTGCAGGCAAGAAACTCAGAGCATGCAGCATTTGGTGGGAGCCAAACAATTTCTCTAGCACACAACTGTGTCAAATGCATGCATGTATTCATTATTGAGAACAAGAGGAAATAGCTTTGATGTAGTGGAAAAAAGAAGATGATAAAAGCACCTCTGCAATATGCGTGTCATTATCAATGGTGGCAGATAGATACAATTGCACAGCCTCCTATGTGATTAGTAAATATACATATAATTGCTGTGGCCAATTATCAGAAAAATGAGATCGGTAATTACAAGACAGAAAATTAACTAGAACTCTTATTAAGGCTTTGTTTCCAATTCAAACAATTGGAAACTGCTGGAAAATACAATTAAATCAAAAGGAACTGAGGTGGTCAAAGCAGCCAAAAAAAAAAAAAAAAAAAAAAATCCCAAAGAGGTTAAAAGAAACTGAATGTGAACAAAATGATCCTTAGACTTTGCCTATCTGCCTCTTTGAATTTACTCTATTCATCTAGAGCAGGAGAAGGTTAGTAATCATAAACTTAAAATTCTCATCAGTAGAGAAAGGCTTCCAAGAAGAAAGGAAAATGGGAGTGAAATAAAATCTTGCTAAGTTCAAAGGATTACATGCAGGCATTACACAGAGAGGACATGAAAAACAGGGGGCTGATGAAACCGTCCACTCAGAAGAAACAGGCACGCGATAATATGACGAGTCTTCGATAAAGGTACTATAAAATGGTCACAGAAGTCCCATTGGTTTGAAGAGCAAAAATAAAACATGATATCAATTTCAGCCCGGCCTGTTTTAGGAAAGCCATATATATATCACTGTGCCTGCAAGATTCTACAAGGCCCAGTTCAAAAAAATGACATTTCACTGTCTCAGAAACTATTAGTAAAAAAATGGTTCAAAGTCTGAGGTGCCAAAACTATGGACTCTGATCAAGTAGTTAGTCCTCCAAGTTATCATTTCCGAAATTCTTTTGGAGGCTCTAGTACTGGAAGTGTCTGAGTAGTAGTTGATTTAAAATGCAACGTTTAGGAAGATAAAAGCCTACTGCCTTAATGTGGCTGAATATTTACTAAGATGGTTAAAATTCCGGACCGGTTTTCTACAAAGATCCTAGTATAAAACATGATGCTAATGTGGGCCTCATTTCAAAGTATGATACCAAGAGTAAATTAATGAATTATAGACTAGGCAACTTGATGAAGATGTCATTTTAACATGGATGAGAAACAAAATGAGGGAATGTGACATCTTTGCATGGGTAGTTAATTTTATTTAAGACCTGATATTGTAGCCTGTTAAGTTCCTCATAATATAAAACTAAGGAACACTGGGTGGTACCCATGAATAATTTATTTCACTTTGAAAATGCCAGCCCAAGTCGACTTTAAAGAACCGCAGAGAGTGGAGTCTCATCTCAGGGGTGCCTGGAAAGAATCACTCATCAGAGATGTGGGGGAAATTCTAATCTTAATGCATAATGCCAGATATTTCTTTTCCTTTTAAAATCCGTGTCTCTTGCATACCTCAAAGGAGAATTTTCTGAGACACAGAAGACTGACTGGTGGGGGGCAGAGGGGAGGTGGTCAGAATGTCACGCACAAACATGGGGCGGAGGGGTGAGCAAAGGAGTCCTTTGAGAGCCTCCCACTCCACAAAAGCACGCAGGCTGTTAGCACTCCAAAAGAAAACAAATGAAGAGACCTGACGGTGTTCACCACACTGGGAGGATTTTAAAGAATACTTTTCTCATTTTTAAGCAAGTAAAATCAGAAGTTTGTTTAGAAGAGCATTGTAGAACACCTCCGAGAACCTGCCTGTTTCTTGATGGAATTCAAATCTGCGCGAAGGAGGGAGGGAGGCTGAGTGGACTGTCCCAGTTTCCCCCGCAGTTCCCAGGGAGGGGGAAGCATCCAGTCACCGCTGGGTTAGAGGGAGCCTGAGGACCGTGTCAAGGGGTTCAGGGATCTAGTAAAGTCCTTGCTGCTACTCATCACAAACGTGTTCTGTGAAACATGGGTTCAGGGAAGATGAACAAATACATTTCAAAAATATAAACATGAGCTGGAGAAGCAGTTACACTAGTAAACTCTCAGGCCTGGCTGAAACCGACTCTCAACTCTTAATAAAAGTCACTCTTTTTAAGACCCTGGGTGCCATACTTCACCTTAAGGGCTTTTTTTGGGGATGCTTTTCTGTTGAGCTTTCTAAGCACAGAGGTATGGAATGAAACAGTGGACACAACCTTAACCAGAAGCCTTAACCTGAGATCCTAGTCCCAAATCAACTTTAGAGTCCTGCTAAAGGGACACAAGCTGGATCTTGTTATCGAGCCGGCAACTGTTACATAAAAACAGCGGCCGTAAACCATTGCAGTAAGCAATTCTGGTCATCAAGGAGGACAGTCTCCAAGTCTCAGAGGTTTCAGTAACTACCTGGTCAGCCCCTTTTGCTAAACAACTGGAACACAAGCACGTGGCATGCTAGAGAACAGCGAAGGACAATGGGAAAAAAGTTTTGAGTGATGCCTTTGCCTTGTGAATAATGAACAGTTCAGGAAGGTCAACCCATTACAACTGAAACTGTTTAATTATTAATTATGCACAATCTATGAGCAAAAGGACAAGTTCAGAATGTTTAATGTATGCTAACTTCAACTGGACTCTCTCTGGGTATTTTGTTATTAGCACTTGTCAGCAAGGTACTCAGGCATAAAAAAAGGCAAGCAGCAGAAAATCTGAGAGCGTGTGTGTGTGTGTGTGTGTGTGTGTGTGTGTACCTACACACTCAAAGAGCAGGGGAGGGGAGGAGGGAGAAGGAGGGCTGATTCCAATCACTGCTGTTGCTAGTTCACTTGCAGACTAACTATGCCAATAAACACACTTTGTGACCTTGAGAGCAGGCAGATAGGCTGGGTACTCCAGATACAGAAAATATAGATGAGGCAAACGCTTTTGAAATCAGTTACTTAAAAGAGAGATCATTATTTCAAAGGCATAGTTTTTTTGTTTTAAACTATGATGTTTCTTGGCTTTGGAAAGACCCAGGACAATGTTTGTGCATGTACGCGCACCCACATGTGCAGCACATGCATGAGTGCATGGAAAATGGGTAGAATCTGAATTCAGCGGATTCTATCAATGTCAATTTCCTGGTTGTGATATTGTACTATACTTATAAGCTATTAACACTGGGGGAAACTGGGTGAAGGGTAAACAGACTCTCTCCATAGTAATATTATTTTTAAATTATTATTATTGGTTTTTTTTTTTTTTAGAGAGGGAGAGGGGAGGGGTAGAGGGAGAGGGAGAGAGAGAATCTTAAGCAAGCTGCATGCCCAGTGTGGAGCTTGATGCGGGGCTCGATCTCACGACCCTGAGATCCTTATCTGAGCCACAATCAAGAGTCAGATGTTTAACCAACTGAGCCATACAGGCGCCCCTCTCCATATTATTTCTTACAACCGCATATGAATCTCAAATGATGTTGAAATAGAAAGTTTAAAAAGAAAAAGGTAAGGAACTATTTTTAAAAACTCTGATGAGGTCCAGATTCTTGGCGAGCTTAGCTTTGTGTAAGGGGAAATGCTCATATAACTACTCGATAGAAAAAAGTTAAGGGAACTTTGTCTGAAAAAATATACCTGCGTATTTAATGTTTGCCTTTAATTCCTAATTACAGATAATAACAAAACCTGACAAGGATATGGTAGTTAATTCAAACATTGATAGGGCATAGACATAAAGTGCTATATAATAAAGATGATAGTCATTCATTGCTTATTTACTGGTTTGTTCATTGAGTAATTTTCTTGACCACCTACCATGCCAAAGGCTCTGAGCCTGGCATTGTGGAATGACTAATAAT